GGGCAAAAAAATCCTTAGTTAATTAATTTTCATTATAGACAGCTTTATAAAAGTATAAAAGCTCTCATAAAGTATTTTTCTGAGGTCTGTCTTATCAGGTAAATTACTGTACACAGTGTATTCATTAATTTTCATTTTCATGTAGTAAATGCTCTATGTCTTCATAAAGGACGTACTTTTCCTTTGTTTAAGGGTATTTGGGCAGTTTATTCTCTGTTATATTCACAATCAAACAATACATACAAGTACAGTACAGTATTTTCTGAGTTTTTTATTATTTTAACCCCATTCCCGATAACCCGGCATTTTCACAAACTCAGCCACCCTTCGGTCCACATTAGGCCGAGTTTTCGAGGTTCTACTGTAACAGGGCAGGCCTCGTTAATCATTTCAATTTGTATTTAATCTATTACATTACAACTTTTATATAAAATCGGTAAGATTGAAAAGTACATTTAAAAATAAAAATATTTATAAATTAAATGATAAAAATGATTTACCCGAATATTCTTCCATTTCTTTTATATAGATCAATCATATTATCATGAAAATTCTAGAAGAAATTAGATTGAGTTTAAAACTAAACATTATATAATTCAATTCATAATTAAGAATTGAGAAATGAATAATTAAGAAAAAGAAAAGAAATATGATAACTGCATTAAGTTTATTTTTCCTTTTTCTTCTGTGTAAATAAATATATATAGTCAGTCAGTGACATTTTTGCTTGGCGGAGATCACTGCCGTAACGGCAGTGATCTCCGCCAAGCAAAAATTGAGGTTCTGTTTACGCGAGGTTCTGTTTTGTATAATTATTCGAGATCCAATTAGCTGAATCAGTGTATTCAGCTAATAACTGCAATGTCACTTTCAAGAATCGAACACTTCTCTACATCTTTCAGCAGTTCTTTAAGTGCTTCCCTCTTAATCATTATCCAAAGTCCTGTTTCGGTGGAGGCTTTCTGATGAAACAGTTGCCGCTTCAGGAATCCAATGCAAAAGCAGATTCTTACAACTGATGATGGCAACTTGGTGGCGTTCTTTGAAAGCATTGGTTCGCCTCAATGTTCCAGCGATAAATCTGGCAGTATGTCTGGAGGTCTTATCATGATGCAAGATAACTTTGTGCTTTTCTCCAGGATAATATCGCTCCAAGACATATAACATGTAGTGGACCACATTAATTTTCTATTTTTTTGGCACTTTGGTCTTTGTTTCCCTTTGAAATGAGGCAACACAATAAAGTCATTTTCTTAGATTTACCTTGTAAGTTTGACAGATTATTTGCACAGTAAACTTGAAGGTATGGTTCTTTTTTACTACTGCTTGTTCACTTTGTACATTTTCCTTCCTAATCAGTCTTTTCACTTGTTTGTTATTGTCTGCAGGTATGCAATTTCAAACTCTTGAAAAAGGTGATGGTGACTTACTAAGAGCAATGCCATGTTTTTTTTGTCACATTTGCTGGTGATTCTAATGAGAGTTGATTGAAAAAGTTATTATTTTGGTTTTTAGAGCTTTAACAACCACAAGAAAATACAATCCTTGTTCAGAAAGCACTTTAATGAACGAATCTCACTTGTTCTTGACTGTGGCCATTTTCAAATTCAAGCATTCAAATTGTGCCTGTTAAGAAGTGGCAACACCATTTTTTTAAATTTGATTAAGCCCTGACGCTCTTAATCATAACCTGTCATAGTTTCGGCCAGACCCACAATGGTACATTCAGGTAGTGAGGAAAGGAAGCTGACATATTCAGGACATTTGATCCCTGAAAATCTTTCGGGATTTCTTGATTGCCCAGATTCGATCCCAGATCGGTAGGCTGACATTTTAATTATCTGAAACATCCAGCTGTCTAAGGCAGCAACCATTACCAAACACCAAATGTAAAGTTCCTATGGTTTTCTTAGAAGTAAAAATATTTGAACCAAAAACTGAGTCATAATTGCAATCTATCTGTAATTTCAACTTCTTTTATGTTGTTCTGCAGTGTACATAAATATGAAGTAAAGATGAGTAACAAATTGTGTGCTAGCCACATAGTGCCTAGTCTGAATCAGATACAGATTTCTCAATTTATCACTAGTAGTTTGTGACAGTGATTGTCATCAGTTGCTGGCTGATCCCAATGTTGGTTGAGCCAATTCAAATAGTCAAACTCTACCAATTGTATACACACTCAACATGAAGGCACTTCTCAGAGTGTTATGTTTCAATGCTTGAATAATAATAATGTAGTTGATTGCAAAATTTATTTTATACAAAAGTATAAAATAAATTTTACAATCAACTGCATTATTATACAATATTTTATTATACAATACAATATTATAAAATATGTTTATACAATATTTGGAATTATGTATGAATCATTAATCTATATTGAAACAACAATTGCAAGTGACACAGTGGTATATGTCATCACATTATTTGACAGGTGTCTACAGACAGAGAGAAATAAATGGTTTTGAAAACAATGTAACTAATAAATAAAAATTCTAATTATAATTGTTAAGATTTTTTTATAATGAAGCTATGCCTTTTCTTTGTTACTCTCTCTCATACACAAAGTAGTAGTATAATAAGGCAACAGACTATCAATATATCCACTTTATTATATATTATATTTATTGCCAAGATGCATTTCGAGTAATTATCTTTAAAATTTACTATAAATTTTAATTGCTAAGATTAAAATTAATGTGATTTTAAAAAGGAAGAAAGTACATCAAGGTATGTCATAAAATTTTANCATTTTCCAATATTTGGAATTATGTATGAATCATTAATCTACATTGAAACAACAACTGCAAATGACACAGTGGTATATGTCATCACATTATTTGACAGGTGTCTACAGACAGAAAGAAATAAATGGTTTTGAAAACAATGTAACTAATAAATAAAAATTCAAATTATAATTGTTAAGATTTTTTTTATAATGACGCTATGCCTTTTTCTTTGTTACTCTCTCTCATACACAAAGTAGTAGTCTAATAAGGCAATAGACTATCAATATATCCACTTTATTAAATATTATATTTATTGCCAAGATGCATTTCGAGTAATTATCTTTACAATTTACTACTCGGCTAGAGATTGGTTTGATTAGCCTTTTAAGTAAAATTTCGGCTCTTACAGCAGGGTTTTATTTATATCCCCAATTCCCTAATCTCTTAATTATTTTACTACTTCTTAAGTAGAAATAAGTCGAAACCGGTTACTTTGTACTCGAATATTTGTAGTCTCGGGAAAAAAGTGGAAAGACAAATTTTTATGACAAACGGATACATAAATCGTAAATTTAAGGAAAATANGAAAATGAAAATTTGCTTGATAATTCAACTACGCTTGTTGGAGAACAATAAAAACACTAAACTCAACAAGCCACCAATAAAACTCAACTGCCTAACCTATAACCAAAGTCTCTTTTTAATTTGTTTTTAAAAAAAAAAGCGCTTGACAAACTTGCCCCGCATGCCGAAGTTGCCCCGGTCTCCCCTATATAGGCACGTAAACAAAGTATTCATAGAAATAGTACATTTTGAAGGAAAATAGTACATTTTTTGAAGGCGCTTCAGTACGTTTTGAAATTTCATTGAGTTAACACTGCCGGGCTATCAAGCTGTCTCGAATCTGTGAAATCATAACTGTGACTTATATCGACGTCCTATCTGTCTCTTTTCTCCGTTATCACCAGGCTGAGTCACGTAATTGTAAAATGGGAACTCTAGGACGGAAAAGTGACGAATCGAAAGTATTGTGAGCGCGTACATATTATGATGTATGCACAGGCGTACATGGATTAGAGCGATAGAGGAAAGACAAAGGGAAGAGCAAAGACGAGCGCTTAGAAAGAAGGATAGGCAGGGTCAGACCCTCAGATGTGCGACGATTCTCGGACGAATAGGTGTGTACGTGTGCTGATCTTTGTAATTATAAATTGTGAATACATGTGACTAATATTATTTTCTTTTTTATTTTGTGNAGTTAAAATGAATTTGGAGAGATCTTGAAATTAATTTTTTTGTAGAGAAATTCCTTTATTTTAAAAATTACAAATGAAATATTTTGAAATATAAAATACCAATTTTATTAACATCTAAAGTAACAAAGATTCAGAAGAATTTTAAATGTGTTTCATTAAAATTATAGTTTATCACTTCAAATTGAAAAGATAAAATGTAAATTCTGTCGATAAATTGTACATTTATGCATAAGATTACATCCAATGAACAATGGATTCAATGTGGATACAATAAGGTATGGTGTCCGGAAAGTCCAGACTTAAGCACAAATTGATCAAAATGATTTGAATAAATGGAAATCCAAGTTGGGCCAATATTTTAGTAACTTTCTGTAGATAGCTGTCAAAACAGTTTGCTTCACTGAACATATGACTAATAGATCTCTTTGGTGTGTCAAGTACTTTTACCCTATTATCTGTGGTTTTTCAAACTAAATTCTGCTCACAAAACAAACTGTATTATGAAATTAAACAAAAAGTAATGTGACTAAGATCTTATGCTTCATTATTGTATTAATTTACCAATTTATATGGAAATTTGAATATGCTACATATGACTAATTGATAGTTGTGTTAATATAATATGTAAATGATTCATTATAAAAATTATGTTCTTAAAATCACCTTTTTATATTCTGTAATAAATCACAACTTTGATCATTTCATTTACAGATCAAAAATCTTCTTCTCCTTCAGCATCATTAGTCCCATTTCCTGTGATATTTGCTACTTTCATTTTAGTCAAATCCCCCTTCCTCTCATCAACCCTTCCCATTTTTAATCCAAATTTGGGGCTAATCAGACTCATCAGTCTTTAGAATAATAGTACCCAAAAATTGTGTGGCATTTCTGACTGAAACAATATCTGAACTTGCTGATAATTCACAACCTGACAAGAATTAGTGTGTTCAGTGAAGTCTTTGTCATCTATGAACCAAATGAGTCTACTTGTCTGTAAAACTTTACTTTTTACAACTTAGATACTTCCTTGTTTTTATCAATAACATTGTAAACTCACAATACAATTTATCAGCATTAAACAGACTTGAGAATATAGAAGAATTGCTTCTGCACACTCATGTTATTTGATATTATTTATTTAAATATAAATGGTTTCAATATATACATTACGCAGAAAAAAAATCTGTGTTTTTTCTCAAGAAACAATTGTAATACTTTACATTCATATAAAGTTAAAGTAGCAATAATTCTGTGAATTATGCCTATCTTAGAATACAAAGTGTAAAGGTTTGATAGTGTCCTTTTCAAAATTTCATTTTAAAACAGATATAAAAAGTAATCACGATGATATTGAATTGCATAATTAAGATATGCAAATTTCTATCGCTAACTTCTACTTCTGAATCTCAAGTTGCATCGTATTATAATCCCATGCAATTTAATTAAAGGATTTTTTTCTATTGAGTGAGAGAATGGAATTCTACATAACAAATCACTACATATTAACAAAAAAAAACACAAGATATTTTAAAAGTATGCACAAGTTTATTCCATGAGATATATACATATCCTTCTAAAATACTCTTTGCTTAATGACATTTTGGCCAATACTATTGACAAATCTGGGCATGTCTTTGATAAAGAAAGAAATCCTTCTAATAAATTAACACACCAACTTTTTGCATCCTTAAATTCCTTCAACTTGTTATTAAGTTTTTTATTTTATATAAACAAGCAAGGTTTATGAACATTATTGTTAATTGTACAGATTGTATATTTGAATAAACGGCAACTGTAAAAAGTTGGCAAAATGCTGTTTTTAAGAGTTCTATAAAATTTTAAATGGTGAAAAATTTGACTTTAACTTGTTTGGATCCAAAACAAACTTGTACAACTTATAAAATATTCTCAAATGTATAAGTTTTATTATTGTTATTGCAATTAAAATGTACATATCAAAGATACCGAAAGATATAGCTAATGATATGTTGAAACAAAATCAAATGAATTTAAATTAAGTGGTGTTTTGTCTTTGATGCTACTTCCTGCGTTATATTACTTATTGGTCCTACAGACATTGGAAACTGCCCATTTGCTTTGCATACTACTGCTCTACCTGTTTGTCGGGCAGGTATTATGTATGATTCAAAGTTAACAAAATATATGAAAGTTTCTTTAACCTAAGTAAACATATCTGCAATGTAATTCCGGTGAAAATTTAATGAGTACGCGGCCTGTTTTGAAGTGGGAAGATTAAGACAAATTCTGCAGATGTCAACTAGGTATTCGTCGTCACTACCTGTTAATATAAGAGAGGATTGAGTGAACTGTTTCCTCTTGAAATTGTAAAAATAAATGCATTTACCTGTCTGAAGTCTTTAAAAATTTTACAAAGAAAAAACTGACGAGTGCCACGGCTACCATTCCTATGCCTGCTTTGACCCACATCGTAGAATCTTGCGACAGAGGCAAGTGTTTCAGATTGCTATAAAAATAAAACATACAAAAAGATTAACTAACTTAATTGGATTTTAAGATGGTGCTGAATAAGAAACTGAACCCAGCAAAACACAAAAATAATTATCATGCAGATGCAGGGGTGGGTTACAAGTAAAACTTTCAGCTAGAAAAGCATTAATCGACTGCCATGCCACATTACAAGACAACAAAATTCAAAGCAGTAAGCAAAACTCTAATTTAGTTATAAAACGAATAAAATCAAAGCAAAACAAATTCCATTCTGGGGAAGTTTAGCAAAGGAAGCTTAAAAACAATATGACAATAAAAATATCAAAATGGCTTTTGGTTTACTGCTATGTTATTTTATCATAAATTTAACTTTTAAAATTAGAAGGCAGCTACATTCTATTTATAGAACAGTTTTCCTGTTTTACATTTCCTGAAGAGGGCTGATAAAATAGTAGCCGAAAACATTCAAACATTGAAGTTAAGTGTTTCTTTGCTGAAAATTTTGCATTTAGGTGTAATTTTCTATTCTATCACAAATTTAATTAAGTACAGTAAAATGTAAAACTGTGTAAAAATGGATCTTCTAGTAAACAAAAAATAAACCATGGAATAGAACAATTTGCTATGTAGGATCAAGTTGATTTCTTGATGACAAGAATTAGTCTACTATTTTTTCTTTGTTTAAAACTGTAATTTCATTATTTGGAAATCTGTGACAATGCAATACTGCCATTTCTCCTAAATACTTTAGATGAAAATTAATACAACACTCTACATGCTATAAAACAAAATTCTAGCTGGCACCATCAAATTTCATTTTAAACAGGTTTTATTAAATTAAAATTGCTGTCAATTTAATGTTAAATACATCTTTTCTTTAATAAACTTTCATATTTACTAAAATGATGTGAAGTTTAGTATTTGTAGTGTTTCTACATTAATTAATTGTAATACATAAAAGCCATCATGATATTTATAACTTATTGTTTTCCAAGTAAACATTATTATAATTAACAAATATAACCAAAGCCCATTTAATAGCCAATCATAAATTTAAATGGCTGTATTATTTTCAGGTTACGTTTAAACTAATTTTTGATTTAAAATAAATCAAAAACAATGAAAATTGATCTAGATATTTGGAGATGCCACCACCTTGTGCTAAGATTAACAATTAGAAATCAATTAGACAATTCTTTTGTAATTGTTAAGTCTTAGCACAATGATACAGGCTTATCTTAAGGTGAAATTTTGTAATTTAATCAAAAATTCACTTAAAATGTAACCCAAAATAATTTCACAATTCAGATATATGATTGGTTATTATAATTAATGTTAATTGTAGCAGTTCTCAATCTTTCAATATTACAGATGTAAACTATGTATTTTCATTGTAGAGATCATTTTTCATTTTACAGATTTAGAAAGCTTTAGCATTATATTTTGATTAGAAATTATTTGTAATTTTTCAATGTTAAGAAATTTTAATTTATAAATTTTATGTGCTTAAAATACTAAAAATAAAGTAATTTTTTCTTAGATAATTGAAAAACATCTCAAATATTTTCAAAAATTCAAAGATTTTGTTTAATTGTTAGTAAAAAATCTAATTTTTTACTTAAAATTTCAAAGCAATGAAAGGTTGACAACTGCTAAATAAATTTTCTTTTTAAATAGTATATAGTATCTTGGCAAAGTGATGTTTTAAATTGTTTACGGGATCGATTTCTGCGATGATGGGAATAATGTTCGACTTGGCTTGTGTCACAATTTTAGTTACCTTTTGTAAAATAATAACAACGAAAGTTAAAAAAGATACAGATTTTTATATAAATACTTCCAAAAGATTAAAATGCCAAAATAAAATATACTAAAATAAATAAAATAAAATTATAATTACTAATTTGTTTAATTGTAAATTAAATTAAACTAACTATGTATTTTCAACTTGATAAGAACATTTTTACAACCTCAAATACTGTGACAGCCAAGACGGAGATGGTCGGACAAGCAAGACGTGGACCAAGCGTCTCAGACTTCTGCCAACCCAGAATGGAAAGGTAAAACAAAAAGAGAGAAAAAAAAATATCTTAGTTAAACCTATTTAAGGAACAAAAGACACCTTTTGACCCACCGATTCTTTGTACACACCTGTGCCGATAGAACAGTCTCCACGCAGCTTTGAAAAGACTGAAGAAATATGGAAAAATTTATGTACTACTTATTAATTTACTATATCATTACTCGACTTTTTTCATATTGTCTCTTCTGATTATTGATTGTGTTTAATAGTCAACTGAAAGAAATTTTGTTCTGTAAAATTTTCAAAATTAAAATAGCCAAATCTATTTTTATTTTTATTTTTTAAATTTCAAACCTCAAATGAATTTTAAAAACATTTGTTTTTAAGCGACATTTTAATAAAGCATTTGTATCAAAATTTCTTTGAATTGACAAAATTTTTTTTATATGTAGGTTTTTTTTTATTCCAATTTACTATTATATATTTAAAAATACATAAACAACTCCATAAGTATTTAAAAAAGCAGAAAAAAGTATTTTGCTTTAAGCAAATACAAAACAAAATGCATATAAAACAAGTTCAAGTTCTTTCAAACTTGCTCTGATTGAGAATGCTTAGAATATTACCGAACACCACAGAAATAATCATTTGTAGCACATTACCATATGAATACAATGTTTATGTGACAGAGTAATTAGCTAGAGTAAAATTTATCTCAAATAGTCAAAATAAGGTTTGTACAAAATGCATTTCAATTCAAGTTGACACCATCATTTGATGAATGCTGTGATATTATTTCATTACACTATTTAAAGGTTAACTCTATTATAGAAATGGTGTTAAAATAATCCATTTGTTAGGATATTGATCAGGAATAGCTTCATTCTGTTCAAATGAGAAAGCTCATCAGGGTTAAAGGCTTTGTTGGAGTTATATTATTATTTTACACAATGAAAGCTATCATCATTCTATAATCTAATAATACATTTACACTAGGAAAGTTAAACTAGTTTAAAATGTCAAGAAGTCATTTAAATTAAGCAAGATCACCTAGGAATTTTAAACTTACAAGGTAGTCAAGCCTTCTCATTTGACAGGGATCTCAAACAGAACAGGATGTGCTGCCTTTAATTTTCTCTCATTTTGGAAATATAATTTTCTCAGGAAATTTGAATACTATTTTGATCAGAATTATTTCAATGCATGTATTTAACATTATAGATTAATACATTAAACTCGTTTCGTATTTTAATTAATGTTACTGCTGTTTGATTTGATAACGGATGTGACAGGAATAAGTTCATTGTGATTCTTGCAGATAGTGTAATAGTTAAATTTGTTTAATATTAAATGTGATTATTTATGAATGATCTTAACATTCTAGCATAAACATCATGTGACCCTAAAGGCAGGGATGCACAACCTTTTCTGAAAAAGGGCCAAATTAGGATTAAGTTTACTGACTGGGGGCCGGACCTCCAAGTGATTAATGTGATGGCTGAGATTGGATGCTGGCGGCAATCTTCTTGATGTCTAGCGTAATGGCAAATGTTGAAACAACCAGCAGATTTTCCAAATTCTCGTTGGTTAACCTGTTCCGTGTTTTGCACTTGTTTAAATTCATAAGCGAAAACTTGCAAGCTTGTTTGGCCGTACCTATGTATGCTTGTTCGCATACATAGGTACTGCCAAACATGCTTGCACAAAATCGAGCATTGTCTTTCAGTTTTGGAAATGATGTATCTGGCAGTTCTTTGTAGAATGTGAGGAGATTAGAATTTTTGAACTGTGATTTCAATTCATCACTGCACTGGATGTCTATCAACTCAAGTTGGACATCTGGAGGGGCATCTTCCACTTTCACATCAAATGGAGTTGAAAAAAGTTGCAGGTAGATCTTGTATTTCTGGAATTCACCAAACCTCTCATTGAATGATGTAAGGAGGGTGTTAACTTGGTCAGAGTAATCCATCTTCATATGTGGGTATTTCTCTTTCATGGCCTTGCAATGTGGAAAGTGTGTAAAGTTCTCTGATTGCATGTGGGACTTGAAAAGTGATAGTTTGGTCATAAATGCATTGATGTTACTTGTCAACTGAGAAACAAGTTGCATCTTTCCCTGCAATCTCAAATTAAGGTCGTTTAGATAAGCAGTAATGTCAGCAAGGAAAGCTAAATCACACTGCCATCTTTGTCCCTCCAAATTCCTTGTAGTGTTCCCCCGTTCTTTGAGGAAAGTGATAATAGGCCCCAATAGCTCCACAAATCCTGAGGACTGTTGCCTTGCTCAGCCAATGAACTTCAGTATACGTGGGCAGGTCAGCATAATCAGCATCTATTTCTTCAAGAAATGATGTGAAGAGTCGATGGTTGAGTCCATGACGGCAGATTAAGTTCACAGTATCATAGACATCTTTCAGCAGACGTTCAAATCCCAGCTTCTTTGCACAAAGTTGCTGTTGGTGAATTATGCAATGATACTGGACTAACTCCTTTTGCCTGTCCCCAAGGTAATTTTTCAGCAAGGTGAAAAATTAAAAATAATAATTTAATTTTAAATTTACGAAAAAAAGAATGTAAAAATAAAAGTAAATAAAAAGTTCCAATTAATTTACTACTTAAATAACCTAAATATATCTGTTTTCTTTCAAACAAAAAAAACCGCAGCTTTCTAGCTACACGGAATCATTTTACAACCCTCTTTGTTGACAAGTTTATGGCTTGACGCGGTTTGTAATAATTATTAAATCCAAAATATTTTAATGCAAATGGCTTCCTTTTAGTCGTAATGACTCTATTCCAACTACAGTATTAATTTTCTTGGTCCAACTTAATAATAATAAATTTGATGTGAAAAATTTTTTTTCTATTCTTTGTCTATGGAGAGATATTGTTGTAAATTATTGGTTTTATAGCTTTTTGTACATTCCTTTTTGAACTCTGGTTAGTTTTTTTCTAGTTTGAATGACATTAGGTTGACGAATAAGCGTCTTTTCAGAAAAGATTGATTCAAATTCGACTATACCAATCAGAATCTAGAATGTAAACAAATGCTAAAAAATCGTTATTTTCATGGTTTTTCAGCGCTATTTTCACTTATTTTTGTTATTTGACGCTATTTAGACGAATAGGCAAGTTTTCCGAAGCATAAAATTGAAGATTTTCCGCCAAAATAGAAACTTCCCGATAACATCGGAAATGACGTTCTAACATCATTTTAAAATATTCGATATCTAAAGCAGAAAGTGTTAGCTAAAAATAGACTTATTTATAGAACAATCCCCCATTTCTCACCTCAGGGAAAGTCATAAAACAGTTGGGTGCTAATGACTTTGTGAAAGGGAAAAAGTTCTACACTTAGAAACTTCGAAAGAAGGGATTTGGCCTGTACCATCCGCGGGCCGCATAAACATTGATAGGGGGCCGTATGTGGCCCGCGGGCCGCAGGTTGTGCACCCCTGCTAAAGGAAAGATGCAAGTCTGAAACACTAGAACTTGATTTTTTTTAATGTTCTGTTTTATTTTATATTCTGATTTAAAAAAAATAAATACTTTTTCTAACATATTTTTCACAACATAAAAATATTTTATATAATTCTCATATTTAGAGTTTAACCATTTAATAAAAATTAATCAAACTGCAGTTGATTCAAAACTGTAAAATTATAACAGCAACTCAGAATAAGTTGATTAAACTGATGTCAAAAATTTTTTAAAAAGTTTCTGACTCTATTACATGAAGAAAAATTGTGAGATTCACATACAGTGGTGCCTCGTATAACGTACGCCTCGAATAACGGACGCTGCGAATAACGGACTTTCTGTTTGACCGTTACGTGACTCGAGCAACGGACTTGCTGCAAACAACGTACTTTCCGTTCGGCAGTTACGTGAGACGAACAATGGACTTTCTTCGAACAAGTGCGAATGATGTTTCCCCTCTTTTGCCGTTGCCAATGACAATCTGCTATTTTTAGGATATATTAGTATTATTAGAATGTATTATTAGTATATCTGAAGTAGAAATGTAATGTAATATATGTTGATGATTTAAATAAACATTTAATGTAATGTAATACAGTATATGTTCACGATGCAAATAAACGAAATGTAATTGTGTAGATGCCGAGGTAGCGGGACGAAAAGAGGTTGTAAAAAACAAACGGAGCGAGAGTAGCTCGTAGAAGTGTTTAGTGATCTTAATTAATAAAGAATTATTCGTATCATATAATCTGGCAAGTTAAGTCATTTATAATGCATCATGGCTTCTAAAAAAAAAACAGAAAGGTGATTTCAATTGAAACAAAGCAAGAAATCATCAGGAGTGAAAGTTGACAAAAAGTTTCTTGTCGAATGGGGAGAGGTTCAGGAGTTTACCAACACTCATTATCCAAACATAGCTGAGGCCAACAGGATCAATGATCTCTACGATGACACCTTTGTCCGTCATTTCCGATAGGTGTTAAAGAAGAAAAAAAAAACAGACCACCTTGGTCATGTTTTTCAAGAAGCCAGCAGACAAAAAAACAAAGGATGGAACAAGAGAAGTTGACCCTGCAAGTTCCGGTAGCCTCTCCTGAATCTGACTCCGATTAAAAAACAATAAAAAAAAGACCCGCTGCAATGCGTAAAAAGTCTGTATCTGTATGAATGTGTAAAGAAAGTGTTCTTCCACCTCCTCCTCACAAAATCTGACTACCCGGCATAATTGGTGTCTGCTCCATTTTCATTTTTTATGGTACAGTACGGTTATTTTATGCTGCGAAACGAATTATATGTTTTAACATGTATTTCTATGGGAAAATGCGTTTCGTATAACGGACGTTTCACTTGGACGTGCACCTGGAACGGATTAAGTACGTTGTACGAGGCACCACTGTAATTTAAAATTTACTTGAGAGTCAAAAATTATCAATTAAATAATTAACTGTAAAATATTTAGATAAAGTCATTCCCTACAATTATAGTAGAGCATTGATTGTCCGAATACCGATCAACCGAAACATCAGCTAACTGAAAGCATTCCAATTGACAAATTCAAATTTCCACTACTGCAGCACTCCCTCCCTCCCAACCTAAACTGTAGGCCTACTTTAATGTACAGTGGTACCTCGGTATATGTCTGCTTTAGAATACGTCCAATTCGGAATACATCCTGTTTGGACAAAACAAATTTTGCTNAAGCAAATTTCTCAATCCAAAGATTATGTATATTAGAGTGCTAGAGGTATTTAAAATAACCAAATATACAAGCTTTGTAGCAAAATAATAAATTAAAATTATTAATTGTAACATCATCACAATGCTGGACTGTAATTTTTATCATATTTTAAATTTATTTACAATACTGTATATGCTCTCCACATCAAATTAGTACTATAGTGGCTTGCCCTTGTTCATCATACTTTTCCTTTAACAATAGAGTTATACGTCCAATTCGGAATACATCCTGTTTGGACAAAACAAATTTTGCTCGATATATGACTTTTGTTCAGTATATGACTTAATTCAATTATACGTGCCATCTATGAACAACTAGCACTATCGGTGTATTAGACCAGACTAGACTAGACATTCGCGGTACTACAGTTTATAACTTTGTTAAATTTCTTTTTATTTTAATTTGTAAGTAAAATGTTATTTTTATTAATCATGAATTGCAAAAAGACAACAGAAAAATAAAAAAATGACTAGAATCACAATGGAACTGAAAAAAGAAGACTGTTGAGAACATGCCACCTTTATATTTCTCATATAAAGGTGGCATGCATGTTCGAGATTTAACTGTTGCATACTGTATTCCAAGAATGACGATATCGACAATCGTTAAAAATAAAGACATTATTAAATCTGCTAACGTTGCAAAAGGGGTTAAATCTATTTCTAAACAGAGATCGAAGACATTAGATCATGTTGAGAAATTGCTTTTGCTTTGGATAACTGAAAAACAGTATGCTGGCAACAGCGTATAGGAAGAAATTATTTGCGAGAAAGCTAAAAGGATACATGCTGATCTCATGAAAAATCAAGCAGGAACTAGCCAGGAAAGCGAGGTGTTTAAAGCCAGCCATTTTTTTTACNATTATTTGCGAGAAAGCTAAAAGGATACATGCTGATCTCATGAAAAATCAAGCAGGAACTAGCCAGGAAAGCGAGGTGTTTAAAGCCAGCCATTTTTTTTTTACATGAGAATGGATTAATCATTTTTACATTACTTCTTATGGAAAAGGTTGGTTTGGTATACATCCTATTTGGTATAAGTCCAAACACCAGGAATGGATTAAGGTTGTATACCGAGGTTCCACTGTACTACTTTATGTAAGGTATGTATTTGTAAGACATATGATATAAAATATAGACAGTACAGTTTTGTGTTTAATATATTTTTTCATAAATGATCAGTTATCCAAACAACCCAGTCCCAAATTGTTTCAGATAATCAATACTCTACTATAATAGTTTCATTTATAAATTACATTATTGTTAATATATTAAATATTCTTAAGAAATTTTAAAATTTTGCTGCTTGTTTTTTTAACCTTTAACAGTGGGATAGTTAGGTATGGTGCTATCCCAAAGTAGTGGAGAATAAACATGGGAATTTTTTAAAATATTTTTCCACGCATTTTTTCTCATTACTGTTTTGGAAAAAGATTTTGTAAACAGTTATGTCTAGTAAAGAAAAGTCTTTTTTTATTGTTACATAATTCATTTTTTAGGTGAATTTTTTTTGTGGTAGTTTTTTGGAGATGCCCCCAAAAGAATTTAACGGATATATCCGTCCCTCACCACTGCCACACGATCACTCTGGATGGATATATCCGTCCCTCACTGCTACGTGGTTAACATAAAATGAGCAAGACTCATCAAAATTTCGTATTCTTGAAAATTAATTTACTATAAACAATTCGTTTTTAATAATTTTAAAGAAAATTTAACTGTTTTAAAACAAATTATAATTATTATTAATCTGATAATTTTCATTTATTAATTATAGAAAGTTATTCAATTATTTAAGCTAACATTATTGATATTCTAACCTGCCAAAAGTATTATGAATGCCATGTAACATTATTTGCAATTATACTTCTACTTTTTCGATTATCTTAAATACAAAAAAGAACATTGTACACATAAATAAATAAATATACAAATTTCCTAATAAAGTAGATATTTTAAGATGATACAAGCATTATTTGACAAATTTCATTTGCGTATTTTTTAATTCTTTTATATAAACATAATATAGAGAAAGTTAGATACTCTATATTTCTTAAAGCCAAATAATTGCCAGATTATACTATATTATATTACTGTATGTTATATTATTATATCCATCAATTGTTTAGCTTTAATATATAACTATCAAGTTAAAGATGTTTATATTTGTCCCTATATTTCTCCAACTATCAAAAAGTTGTATTCATTTGCTTAATCTTAAACTTGAAATTTTATTTTCAAATAAAATCTAGATTGTATTAAAGTAGGTACAATAGAGCTAACTGAGACTCATTTAATTGAGGTTTCACATTATCAAGAATGAATTCTGGAAGAACATTTTGTCAGTAAATATAAGAGAACAGAGTTAGATAAAATTGTAACAAGTGCAGTACAGTTTGTTTCATGAATCTCAGCTGGATAATGTATGTACTTGAAAGGAGATATAGAAGTTTTAAAACAACATATTTTGGCATGACAATACAAGCAGATGCTACTGTACTTTAAAGTGTCATCAGACATCAATCATAAATTTTAAAAAATATGTAAATTTTAACCTTTAAAGACATTTTTTAATCATTATTTTTATATTTCCTTTTTGATGAAAAAATCTTAGTTAAATCTACAACCAAAAACATTAATTAATGTTAAAAAGAAAAGCTTCATAATACAGAAAAAGGTCTGGTTGGCCAAGCAAATTTCTCAATCCAAAGATTATGTATATTAGAGTGCTAGAGGTATTTAAAATAACCAAATATACAAGCTTTGTAGCAAAATAATAAATTAAAATTATTAATTGTAACATCATCACAATGCTGGACTGTAATTTTTATCATATTTTAAATTTATTTCATTTACAATACTGTATATGCTCTCCACATCAAATTAGTACTATAGTGGCTTGCCCTTGTTCATCATACTTTTCCTTTAACAATAGAGTTGTGCCAGTCATTTATCTAACACCTTTCAGGGAAAAACTTTTGAATTGAAATAACATGACTTCCAGTTTTCATTGAAGTTCATATATAGTTAATTAGGGCCTCCTGCCCCTATGGTTTCCGTATCTGGTCTTGGATTTCATCTACCTAACTCCATTCTTGACATTAAGGAAAGACAGACCGATGGATGATAATTGGGAATTTGTAGGTCTACAATTATTTCAAATTGCAGCCCAATAAAATATGAAAAAATAGCTTAACAGATACTTTTATATATACAGTATATTAATGCTATTTTTTAAAGTTACATTAATAATAATTTTGATTATTTGCTAAAATAAGACTCAATGTACTAGTTTACAAAACAGTGTTTAATCTTGTAACACTTAAAATCTCATTTCAAATATCTGTAAACAAATAAATTAAGTTTCAATAGTTTTGATTAATATTTGTGAAGAGCCTAAAAATAAATAACATTAATGAAAATCTATATGTAATACTTTTGGCAGGCAATAATTATTTATTACAATAAACAAATAACAAATTGTTATATTATAATTATGTTAAAAACATTTTAAGATGAAAATTGTCAAATCAAATAAGCAAAAATAAAACAGAATATTAATCATATTGAGTTATATCATAACAATTTATTATTAAGAAAATATTGATGCTTTAAGACACTTACGGATAAGCAGCCATTGTGGCTAGTTTAATATAAATGTCTTTTCGAACACGACCGCTGACGGTACATGGCTGTGGAGGTGGCAGTTTATATTTACTACAAAATTGGGCTGGCTGTAGAGAAAATTCTTGTTTTACAACGGGTTGATCACTTTTCGCAGCCACAATTAATACTGGAACTTTACTTTCATTAAAATGTTTCTATAAAAGAAAGATATTCACACTTAAGAACAAGTGATAAGAATTAGTATCTTGAAAAATTTTTAAGAAAATTGATAACAAAATAATTAATATTATGAAATTTAGAATTTATTCTGTTTAAAGTAGAATAATTATACAACTTGCCAAAAATATCCTAGCAATATATTCAAATGAGTAAGGATGACTGGAATCATACATGAGGCACACAACATCACAATATAGTTCTGGTGGAGCCAAAGTATCATTCATTCCAAATATATCAATTTCATGTAGCTGAAAGAATAAAGTAAAAAATTTAAAAAGTTTAAATACTTAAGAAATCAAAAACAATGATATGAAAAATTAATTTATACTAACCAATAAATATTTTTCTTGACCATAAACTTGAACTGAATTTATTGTATATTGTGATAGATGAAGTTTATTAATAATTGACTGTTCTTCTAAAGTTTTTCCTAGGAATCCTTGCATAAATGAAGTCTACATAAATATAAGTAATTGAGAAATAATATTAAATTTTAATAATTTTCAACTATTAAAAAAAAATGTTTGATCAATGCATTGAAATATATTATGTATAAGAAGAGTTTCAATTAAAAAATTATAGTCATCTGAAAAGAAAAGTTCTGAAAAACAAGTACAGATATAATCAACATCAACTGTAGAATAGTCAATCCTGAAACTGCATTGTGATACTTAAATTATTGAGTTTCCTATGCAAACTGATTAATAAGCCAAACATTATTTTGGACTAAACATTTTTTTTCACAAAATGCTATTCAGGATCATTTACTGGCAATTTATGAAATAACACTTTTATTTTAGTGTTTGACAAGGCAGGCATAATTTTAGATTAGTCAGTTCATACAGGAAACTTGTTAAGTCAAATGTAGAATAAAAAAGTTTTTAAATTTTACAATTAATGTTGATTTTCATTTCAATTTCATTGAAATATTCAGAAAAATATTACATAATCATTTAATTTTTGAAATTTGTAAGATTAAATATCAAATTCTAATTATAGTCATGTAATATTTGTAAATACAGTCAAACCTCAAGTTTCAAATGCCTTGCTTTTTGAACAATTCAGTTTACAAACATATTTTGAACTCATTCTTGTCCCAGTTGCTGTATGATAACTTTGTTGTTGAACAAGCTAATCAATAGAGCCAGCTACCAATGGCCAAGTTCCTATACTTCCTATGTTAAAGAAAGTTAATGGCCTGACCAATCAATGACTATCGATTTAGAAGTTAATGGCACTGAGATCTCCTCACATCAAGATACAAATCATCAATAACGCTGCTATTTAAATTATTTCAGTGTGCATGCAGGAAAGATACTATTTCTGTTTTTCAGTACATACCACAGTTAAATTAAAAGCAATCAATTAAAATTTCTTTCAGAAAGTGTGGATAAAGTTTTTGTCGTCTGTCTTGATTGTTTCATGAGACAGTCAGAGTTGATTCTCTATAGCAATTCTTTGTAAAGTGTTAGTTTTGGTTGGCAGTAATGAAACAGTGCCATTAACTTCTAAATTGCTTTTAATATATATTAGGGTCTCTCTTATTTTGAAAAAAAAAATTTTTTGTCAAAATGTTTGTACCCACCCTGTAAATTTTTTACATTTGGTCAAAATTACTCAAATATGAAGTTTTATCTTGATAAAATGACATTAACTCATGGCAACTTAAGTTCAAAACTTGAATACAAATAATGACCAATGTGGGGGATATTAAGCAACAGTAAAAAAATCAATAACTACAAAATATAACATTTTATTAAGTTTTTGATATCATACTTGTTGTAACATTCAATTACAATATGAGAAACTATCAGGCATACTTTCTTTTTTGCAATCTGGATATATCCTTCAATAGTCTTGCAAACAGCACAACACAAACTCCTTTTGTTCTTCATTCACAGTCAATAATCTGCAAAAGTCTTGCAATAACTTAACAGCTCTTTCAGCAGTCATTTACAACTCTTAACATGTTAAATGTCCTTTGGGCTGCTAAATACAAAGTGTTGTTTTTCCATGTTGATGGACTTTCCTGGAGAAAACTTTTATCCATTCGTAGCTGAGAAAAGAATCCTCTACTTTGAATTTATACCGTATTTTTGCAGAATGACCATCATTCCGCATAAAAACGGGGGAGACCAGCATGCCAGTTAAACTGTGACTAAAATATAAAATTAGTCAGATCTAACAAAACTAAGTTGTTAACATTTCAGCAGTCAGTGGGTTAGTCAGGTATGGTGCTATCCCTATGTAGTGGAGAATAAATGTGGGAAATTTTTAAAGTATTTTTCTACGCATTTTTTCTCATTACCATTTCAGAAAAAGATTTTGTAAACAGTTATGTCTAGTAAAGAAAAGTCTTTTTTTATTGTTACATAATTCCTTTTTTATGTAAATTCTTTTTTGCAGTAGTTTTTGGCGATATCTGCAAAAGAATATTGTCAAAATCTGAAAGAGAGTTTTCATTTACAAGACAATAAAACAATTGATGACTTATCGACATTAGTAGTAATAGTAGTTAAACAGTGTGGGCTACACTGACCATCTACCCTGACCTTAAAAACAACACTTTTCTCTCAAATTCCACACAAAGCCAATGTTAATTAATGTAAGCGGAGAAAATTTACAGCAAGTTTAAATTTAGTATGTTTATTTTTGTGTTTTTCAATCAATTAACAATAAAATACACATACAAAAAATTTTTGGAATTTCACAAGTATTTTACATTGTTAGAAAGAAGACAAAATGAAGAAATTAAATATATCATAGTTTTTGTTGTAATGGTGACAGTTTCACAGTTTCAGAATAAAAATTTGTTCGTTTTTTAATGCACCCTATAGAGAGGGATGTATAATATCACTTAAACAGGCATGCCAGTTTTTATCACATGAAAATATCTGATTTCCTGATCCCCAGATAAACCATCATGCCGGTCATACCATGCAAAAACAGTACAAAATCATCAATTGTTTTCTTTAAAATAAGAAACTAATCAATGAGACAAGGTAAATAAAAGTATGCTATTACAGTAGAAAATAATTAAACTTACCATATAATTTGCTATCCATTTCTTCACACAGAGGAATAAATTTCCTCTCTGTACATCAATGTTGTCTGCCCAAATTGACCAATATTTTACTTTTGATTTAAAGGTCAATGTCATCATCAAAGAGAGAGAGAGAGAACTGTCAGTTCTTCAGATAAATACAAGTTTAGCTATGCTTTTTTAAAGCTACTGTAGAAATGGTTTTATCTATCACTTCATATGATTTTAATGACTTCAAGATGCAGAGTTCTTGATTACAGGCATTTACAGCTACATTGCACTTAAGAGAATTACCACATTAAGTCTTCTCTTCTCTGATGGATTGTTTAAGTTCTGACCTTAAGAAAAATAATTTTAAGGAATAAATTGCTCTTGCCATCCATCGAGCTTGATGCATATCCTACTCACTTTTCCCAAAAGATCACACACTTACTTATAATTAGCTTTGACCTCTTGTATGTTGTAAAATAAAACAGCCAGCACTTATCTATTTAATGGCAGTTTGCTTCCAATTATTTGATGTTTCACATTCCCTATCAAAAATACACTATCCTTGGGACTGTGCAATTCATATGACATAATGTTAGTGTAAAGGTGCACAAATACATCTAACACAGCTAGAAACTGAAGACAAACTGACAGTGCTCCAAGTATAATGACTAGTCCAGTCCTGAGAAAAGCACAGCATGTACAGATTTGTTTTTGACACATTGATGCTCAAGCCAGCATGGGTTAATATTCATTAATTGCTGAGAAATTAAATATGGACATTTTTGAGTGAAAGGAAAAAAATGGATGGGTGAGCATTCAAAACTTTAGAAATCAGAATATAGGGACACACTAATATATATATTATGTTGCCTTTATAGGCATTTTTACACATGCAATACAACTAAAACAGTAAAAGAAATTTTTTTAGTTTTGGGATCGGAAATGGATTAATCCATTTTATATTGTTTCTTATGGGAAAATTAGTTTTGGTTTTTGAACAACTTTTAGGAATGAATGAAGTTTGAAACCCAAGGTTTGACTGTATGTTAAAAGATAATTTTAGAACTTTTGTAGAAAAAAAACTTAAATTTTCTATACAATTTATTTATACACATCATAAAATTAAAATCTACATAATAAAATTTAAAAACTTTACTTTTCCAGCTCCTTGAGGTCCAATAACATGACAGTGAAAGACATTTCGACTTGTTTGCTTCTTTTGCAAATCAACCTTTTTGTCTCTTGTAACTGAAATTATTTACACAATATTTATAACTATTACTGAAGATTTCTTTTAATCGTGCATAAAATACTTAATCATTTTTTTAAAGTATAAAATAGTTCATATCAAATCTAATTAACTAAAAATATTTAAAGCAAGTTATGTTTGTCTGACATATAGAATAGATTTTTTTTTGGCAGCATGTTTCAGGAACTAGTATAAAGTTAAAACAAGTGCCCAAATGTTTATAAGTATTTTGTTAAAAATTTAACAATCTATGTTAGAAATTATCTTTACTTATTTTTTGATAAATTTACATTTGTAACCTAATTTATTGTGTTCTTATATTTATAAAATATATTGAGATGTTATGTTCTATAATTCAATGAGATTTAATAATTGATGGTGATAAGACAATGCAAAACAGATCTTAAAATGAAGTATTTACATATGATATATAATATATATTTTAAAGTTATATATTCCTAATATATTAAAGATTTAAAAATGCATTTAATTTATATTTATGAAACATGTTTAAAAATTTTTTTATTCTTTTTAATAAACAGGGTATTTGATTTTAGATTTTAAATAATGTAAAGTAACAGCAATTTACTATTAAATTGCAATAAGTAAAATGCATTAATCAAGAAAAAACATATCTTAAAATAGTCTTATTTATTTGATTAATTTTTAAAAAATAAGTTCAAGTAAAATTGTAATTTTATTTAATCCTTTGCAAAAATGGACAAATGTTTCTTAACCCTGCGTTAGTGCACCGAGTTTTTTTTCGGCATTAGTGCAGTGGGGCGTTTGTCCACCCCGACATTTTTTTGGGTCCATAAACCATATAAGTAAAAATTCATAAATATTTACTCATTTATTTGGTAAAGGCATGTGTCATTATACATATGATTATATTCAGGTATGATTACATATTATATTAGTACATAAATCCATGAAAAATAAAAAACAACATTTATCAAAACTCATTACATTAGATCTTATTATTAAACCAATAGTAAAAATCTAAATTGTTTTTTAAGCATTTTTGTCACTCTGATTCAACAGCTGACATTGTACTTTGGCACTCAGTGCAAATGACAAGCAACTTGCTATGTTTGGTATTTTCTAAATGTGTTTATGAAAGTCAGCCATTTTGAATTAAAATAAACTTAAATTATTTTAATTCACATTGATTATTATATCTATATTATAAATAATAAATGTGGTCACATTATAGTTATTTTTAAAATAAAAAAAACTAAATAAATATTTGTAAAATTTAAAAAAAAACGTAATTAATACTGTGGGGTGATTTGGACACCCCACTGAGAACTGTTGTTTTTCTCTTACTGGAATTTTTGCAGCATCGTAGTAATTTCTGAGCATGCTCTATACATAAAATCATGAAGCTACTGAAGAGGATACAAATATTTCTTGCGAAATCTATGAATAGTGCAACTTTTAAAACGTTGGGGTGGCGAAACACCCCACTGCACTACCCCAGGGTTAATTTTTGTATTGAAAAAATTGTTCCTAACTTACCATGAATTGCTGAAAGCTGATTAACATCAGGATTAATTATATAACCCAAGTAAGCTAAATACTCCATTGTCTTTTGAACATTCAATGCAGTCGTCAATCTAAATTAAAATTAATATAAAAATAAATAGAAAATCAGTAGATTAGTTCAATTATATTTAAACTTACGTCCAATAAGCAAGATAGCCTTGCAAAGTAACCCAACCATCATCATTTGTAGGCACTGTATTTACAATTTCAGGACCCCATGGAATTTTTGGACATATGCTGAATAAATCATGCTGTTCTTCTGGAGAAAGGCAGTTATCTTTATCCTGTTAATTGAAAAAAATTTTACTGATCAAATTATCAATTTTTTAACTTAAAATTGTTTGTTTAAAAAAATTTAATTATATTTCTTATAATACAGATTAAAATAATTCATTTGTGCAAATTAAAAAAATACACATTGTTTAAAGTATTTATACTGAATCAATAAATAATTTGTATACTATATCCTTTATTTGGGTTCATTCCAATTCCAAAGAAAGATGAATAAATATTTATGTTATCAGCAGAAATAGAATATTCTTTTCTTAATTAATGTGTCAATTATTAGTGCATTTATCTTACATAATTATAAAAAAAAGAAAGTCAATCATTACTATATCATATTTTGAAGTTTCATGTAATTATCTAATAAAGCTGCATTAGTCTCACTTATTGATATGAAATGTTTGAGTAGAAGCAAATGTCTTATAGAAAAAGGAAACAGTGTAGTCAAGATCCACTACTGCACTAAGTGGTTAAATGTAATAAAGACACTCATAAACAACATGACCAGTTCAAATGCCAACAGACTTTATTCATAAGAACATTTTCATCCATTTAAAAATGTTCATGAGTAAAGTCTGTTCTATTTTAACTGGTTTTGATGTTTGTGAGTGTCTTTTGTGTAGTCAAACAAAACCATCAAATACATCATCAAAAAATCCAAAATCTCAAAAAATTAAATATATTTTAGTCCGGTCAAAGTTCAACACTCAATTTAAACTCAATTTTTTTTAAATTGGATACACAGATGGAACAAGATGGTTTATTAATATAAGGAAGATTTTACAACTGTTTTATTGCAAAGATGTATTATCAAAACTGTTAGAACACTGTTAAATGTAATACTGAAAGAGGAATAAATGGTCTTGAAATGCATCTATAGCTATTGAACATCAATTCACAAATTACAGATGTTTGATAAGGAAAGCATTGTTTTAACCTACTTGCTGGTATTCCTGACATATCTCAGGTCATAGCCTAATGATCTTGACCCGTGGACCCAAGATATCTCGTTTCAGCATCAAAATGTTTTTGAAACTAGATGTTGCTAGTCGTTATAATTTTTATATTAAAACTAACTTGCAAAATATAATTTTTTTTTCATTTTTACATTTATTAATATATTTATTTTGTTTGTGCAAAATAAAAAAATAATTTTGAACAATACGATTATTTTTTCAAAAACGTGTAATTTTCATTAGGCTTAATATCAACAAAAATTCAACATGGTGCAACACACAACAGAGAAAATTTTCAACATAGAATAGGTTAAACTCATCAGTTCTTATAAGAATTTCAGTAAATTAAATATCACAAGCAGTTCCTGGAATAATTATTTATTTTATGTAAAAGATGTAAAGATCATCTTTTACATAAATTTACATTATATGAAATTTAACTAAATACGTTACCTTATAAGATTGTAATGCTGTAAANAATATTTACTAATATAAATATTTTATTGATTAAAATTTAACAAAAAAAATTTAATTTATTACTTTTTCTGTGAAATGCAGATATGGAATATTTCCTACTGCTAATATTAAGTTAATATTTATTTATAAATTATAAAATAAATTATATAATAACCAAATTTTACAAAATTTCTTAATGATACAATTATACAAAAATTTTGTCAAGAAAAACACAAATGCATTCAAACAAATTAAATGTAATCAACCAGATAATAAAGTGTTTATCTATTACAAGAACTTGATTTCAATTTGTGATAATTTTTTGTATGCAATTTAGATCAGAAAATCCTCATTTCTCATCAAGGGCCAACATAATCAGGTCATAATTAGATTTATACTTAACAGAACTGAAAATTGGTATTATGTAACTAATAGTAAACTAATAACTCATGTTAACAAATCTAATCTAACTTGATTAAATGTGTCTCAGTTCAATGTTCAACAGTTTAAATGGATATTCTGTCAATTAATAAACATAAAATTATATTTAAGCTCACTTGAATTTCACTTAACACTATATTTCATTTAGGATTAAAATTTTCCTAATTCTTTTTTGTTTTTTGAAAATAATTTTTAAAATTTTACTTGAGAAATTTGTTTTTTAACTGTTCATAATTCTAAAAGATTTCTTTGTTATATCTAAACAGAACTGTATCTTAAAACTCACTACAGAAATGGCTGAAATGAGATTAAAACAAATTCTAATGTAGCATTTCCCAAAATGCAATCCACAACCTACTATAGGAACAGTACATGGAAAAAATATAGGTCAACAGAAATCTTAAAAATCAGAAGAAACAGTGAAAAAGGTAACAAATTTAATATTTTTAAAACATTTTAAACTGAAATATCTTATTACATAGTAGTATGGAATATCACAAACTTGATAAGATGCTAATTATGATGAAATTGTCACAATGCATTTATATACAGTATTTGAGGCAAGACTTAAAAAAATAACTGAAAATTATTAGTCTCTACATACAAAAATATTTGGGAAAGACTACTGTAATACTAATTGCTATTTTCTAAAATTTCAAAAATTCTAATTGCTATTTAAGAAAATAATAATTAAATATAAACAGTTTAAAAATAATCACATTAGCTCTCAGTTTACCATAAAGTATGATGAAATTTTCTATGAAACATTTACAAATGCTGCTCATTTATTGTCATAGACCAAATCTCACAGAATATGCTCTGAATCCGTATTGAAAAGCACAATGTATTTGAATGTGTGTTCTAAACTTCTGAAATTTTTATTCAGAAAACATTTGAATACTCAAAATTCTCCATCAAGCTTGATGGAATATGTTTTATGAGAAAGTAGAGATTGAAGAAATGATAGTAGTAAAGAAATTCAAGAAGAGTTGCTAATATTTCTACAAATTCAATAGCTTATACTGTCCATGGAAACATAATTGAAGCATAATAATGCATTTTGAATAACAGGCTCGTTGGCTCATTAGATTGTTACTTCCAATTGGATAATAGAATTGTTTTTTGAATTCTACGTTTTTTTTTAATTTCTTGTAGAAGTGACACAATGCAGCTATCTTTTTTAAAGTTTATATTTAATGAAGTAAGTTTAAAATACACCATTTGCCAAAATATTTAAAAATGCAACTTAATAGAAATTCAGTCTTCAAGCATAATCAAATGAGGTCATTGACATCACTGCAACATAAGTGCGATCATCAATCCAAAATTGATAAATCATTTGTTTTGTAGCTAGTATTTCTGCAAAATAAGTAGCCTATACTTTCCACCAGAACATAAAATGAATATAATCAAAATTTCATACAGACTGGATAAAATTTGTAGAAGTTATAAGGAATTCGCACACATGCACATTTTGCAAGATTTGGATTCTGATAAATAAGCAGCATTCATAAGAGCTTAGCAGAAAATCTGATTGTACTTCACAGTAAGTAACAAAAAGCTAATCTGGTAATTGTGATAACATGGAGTGTATTGATTATTTAACAATGACAAAATATATTTACTTGGTCATATTTTTCAAATAGTGTAGTAAAAAAATGATATCCCTGATGTGTTAATTCTGCACTAGATCCCAATTGAATAGTTAATCTGAAAAACAAATTAAGACTGTTAATGCAATCAATTGATCTAAGAAAAAATATTTGTTACTGAGAGAAAAGGTCTTACTGGGGTGTAGTATAATCTTTAGCAAGATTTAAAGAATCATCATATCCAAATTTCCTAAGAACTGTCCAAGTAGTTTCATGCCTTCCTCTCTGAATGAATAATATATGTAAAAACAAAAATCCTACATAAAAGAAAAAAATATTTGTTTAAATACATAAATAAAAATTTATATATATTTATTTTTATATAAATTTTTCTTTACAAAAATATATTGAATTTGTTAATTTCATTTATTTAAACTAAGTTTAATGAGCTAGTTTAAAAGCATACATTGTTTACTTAATTTTTTAAAACATTATTTAGAAATTTATAATTTTAGAATTTTGATTATTTCCTTAGACACAAAAATGATTATATTATAATTAGATATGTACAATATACCTTTCAGTGTTAAACCATTATCATCAGCACCATCTGGAACATTTTTCCTAACAATAGACTTAACATCTTCAAGCGCCTGAGGCTGTAGAGGATTATTAAAACAACGGCGCTAAATGGAAAAATTTACTTTAAAAGCTTATTTAATTAAAAGATAAAAATTTTTATTAATTCAATGTAACAAAAATCATTAAAACATATACAGGTATTGTTTATATTGCATCACATACCCAATATGTGCTATGATGGGAAAAATAACTCCTGACTGATTGGGGGTAAAATTGTGCTTATAAAGTCTGACAATTAAGTTCACATACTTATCGTGATAAACGTGCTGATCAATCAAAGGTCATTTTCTCCACCATAACACATTTGGGTATGTTGCAAGACACAAACTGAACCTGGCATGCACACATGTACATACACAAACCTTTCAAGGTCACACAAAACAATCACTTTTACTCCTCATATAAATTAAAAATTACAAATTATGTAGTCCTAAATGTATTTATTTGCACCCAGAAAATGGTTTAGACTAATTAAATAGTGCTCTTTAAATCTGTCATTTTAACTTTTACATATTTAATGAACAGAGGTAATGTAAAACTTAAGTGATCTTAATCAAATGTAAGTTATCTTACCTGAAATTGATTCAATTCATAATCGTTTAATGCTCCGTCATTATCATAATCACAAATCTAAAGAGTTATATATATATAATTCAGTAACATATTAAACAAAATAAAAATAAAAATATTCCAAATTAATTTATAAACTTACTGTAAATACTCTTGTTAATGCAATCTTACATCTTTCAGTTAACTGAAACAAAAAACAATTTTATAATTTTATTCTTAATATCTTTTATAATTAATGACAAAATTTGAATTTTGTTTTACGATCATTCAATTATTGACAACTTGTAATTAACGTTTATAATAATTATTACTTTAAACCTACTTTCTGTAATAAATCAAACATAAATTTAATAATCATCGAATGTAAAGCATTTATCATTTAAAAATACAGTACTTGCCCATATTTTATCTTTGAAAAGTGAATAAATAATGATTTATTTAAAGATATAATTTTTTATTATTATGTAAAGAAATACAGTAGAACCTCCATTATACGGATTTTCGATTATCCGGATTGTTCAAAATAAACAAAAATTTTACGAATTTGCTGATTTGCACTTGGCGAATTACGACACTGTTTATGTACGTGATGGAATGCATAACTTTTTTTGTTTCAACAACGTCTCACCCAGCACAGTGGTCGTAAACTCTTAAAATATTTTATGTAGTAATAAAAATATAACTTGACATACGTATTTATAAATAATTTATATTCAAATTACATCATTTCTATGACCAAGGGCGGCGTAAGGCATGGACGACGTGGGCCACCGCCTATGCCTCGCGGTCCGAAGGGCCTCGCGCCTCGAAGGTTTATGCATTACTTAAAAGCCGCGAACGCGACGAAAAAATTTTACTCGTCATAAAACGATAAATAGTTTGTCAAATTTTTATTCATAAAAATGCAGTTTCAACTGCTTTTTATTTTATAAAATCCGTCTTCTTGCGCCACCAGAGGGCCTTTTAAACAATAGGTAGTCTGTTAGCGTTGGTCAGTAGTAGTCCAAATTCAATACGAACGTTTGTTTCTTGAAAATTTGATCACGATTTAAATACAGTATTTACTTTTAATATTACTGATATGTCATCGAAAAGAAAACGTGTTGTATTATCATTAAAAGACAAATTAAAGTATTTGTTTCGATTATCCGGATTTTTCCTTATCCGGACTACCTTCATCCCCAATTAGTCCGGATAATCGAGGTTCTACTGTAATTCATATCACTAATGAAATATTTAAGCACTCACATCTCTTTCTTCTGGAATATATAATGGAGCAGTAGGATGAAGAACAGCTTTTTGTGCATAATAGAATAACTCTGATATATTCTTTAAAGTTTTGGCAGAACACTATATATTACAAAATAATTTGATTTTAAATTTTCAACAAGTAATCAATATAATAAATAAATTAATTAAAAAATACCTCTACACATGTTTCAATTTCAGAAAACTGATTCATTATTGGCATTATCATCTAAAAAATAAAAAAAATTATTATTATTATTATATATATATAGCTATTTTTAAGAAACTTTATTTTAATGCATAGTAACTTATAAATAAATTTAATTTTCCTGCACTTATAACACTTTAGAACTAGTTGTTCCAACATTTTTAAAGACTCATCTCCAAGTTCTTATTAAGAAGTAAAAAATTTAAACACAAACTAACAGTTCTAGAAATAATGTTAGTTCATTATGTTCAATAGAATATATGTTTATTTAAATTTGTATCTAAAATTTATCTGTGTAAATACATACATGATACCAAAGATAATCCTTTGGAACTATTTATATTTGATCCTTTTATCAAGAGTTAGTGTTAAAAGTTAATCAATAAGTATTCATGTAGTAAAAGTAAAATGAATGGTAACTGGTTAACTTTTAACTGTAGACTCTTGGTTGTGATTATGGCCATTATTATTATTGTAAAAGTGCTGAAAAATTAAAAATGTTTATAAGCTAAAGCACAAATTCCAGTGGATTACTTACTATATAATGCATATAATTATTATATTTAAATTTTAATAGTTACCTCTAAAGAACTGTATTCAACTAAATCCACTTTATTGCCAACAAGTACAACTGGTGTATGATGTTCCTCCCCTAAATGATCTCTAATCAATGGAAGCCAATGTGATGTAATCTTCAAAATCAAATAAATAAATAGTTAAAAATCATATCTTCAGGAGAAGTATAAAAATAATAAGTATATATTCATTAATAATTAAATGTATAGTTCCTTTTGATTATATATAGTAATATTGGTATATTGTTGTCTTATGTTACATATTAGTAAAGTTTAATAATTTAAATGATAATTTAAAAGATAATCATTTACAATTTCAATTTCAAGCAATAAAAATTAACTCTTCTGCTTATCTACAAAAATCAAACTATTTACAGTTTTATTTTTAAAGATTTTTTACTTTTAAAATAATAAATTTAATTCTCTCTTAAAGTTTGCTTTATTAGAGAAAATATCCAATAAAAATTTAAAATTCAAACATTTCTCACTAATTACTGTATAGTTATCATGAAAAAAATTTTTCTTATAGATGAAATGATTAAAATCTTTACTAGAGAGTAAAAAATTTTTAATAGTTTCCAAAGAAAAAATATTTAGAGTTTATAAACCATATACAAGTTGTGATAAAAAAATATGTGGAGACTTATTTTATAGACCACTACATATTTGAGAACATACTTAATAAACCAGCAACAAGTTGCTCAACTTTTCTGGCAACATTTAAAATTTTAGTGACACCATCTGTTATAATATTTTATCCAAAAAGTGCTAATATTTTTAACTATTATAAAATGGCAAAAAGCTTAATTTTGAGGGTAGGGATGAGTTTTATTTTTAAAAAAATGGTAAATGCTAATAACGAGTAAAATTGTCATTACGTCCAACTCTACTGGAGATACATACGACTCCCATTATCTCCCATTCCTTGACCTTTAACCACCAAAATTTAATATCATCAATTCCCCAAATAAAGAAACCTCCCTGCAAATTTTAAGAAATCTTCAACAAAAAGCACAGAAGTTTTAAAGCTTTAAAGAGGATGAACAAAATCATACCACACACTCAAAGATACACAGAAATTACCCTCAAACATTTTTGCATTTCTTGACATTTCAAGGTGTCCTAAATCCAAAAATTTTTAAATATTGGGAAGTCATTTTTTGACCGCTTGTCATACTTACAATCTGTTATATATAATAGCCAGGAAAGTAAAAATTGCAAAAAAAAACAAACCTTCTAATGTTTAGCCAAATTTTATTTCTTCCATTAGATGTTGGCCTATATCAGCATTATATATTGAGTTGTAATCAATATTCTGTAATTGTGCAAAATGGCTAATTTCAAATAGTAGTATATAGGAATCAAATTTTGTTCCAGTTTGAGAAAAACAGATTCAGACACAGTTGAAATAATCAATAAACATATTCAAAGATTTATTAGTAGTGTAACAAATTTAAAAGCAGTTGTTCGTCAACTGAAGTTGATCCAAGATCAGGAAAACAATCAACATCCATTTCTGACAAAAATGAAGAAATTGCTACCTTGTTGAGGCAAAAATTGGAGAACAATAATACAAGAAATAGCAAAAAAGACTAACATTTCTTATAGTTCTTATTTGGGATACAACAGTTGTAAAACTTGTTCCTTAAATCATAAGTCAAGAATAGTCAATGCTTGGAAATTGCCCAGGATCTGTTTGAACACACTGAAAGTGATGATAATTTTGTTACTACAGGTAATGAAACCTGAGCTATGCATGAGTCTTTTAAATATAAAAGTTATATTTATTGTGCATTTCAAATGACTTTAATTATATTTCTAATTAAAAATATTTTCTCAAAAAGTTAACAAAAATTGATTTATAACCTTGATTATTATATATTTTGTAAAATTTTATGTTCTAACAATAAGTTCAAAAAAATAACAATTAATCTAGTTTGTATTTATTTCTAAATTTAACACAGAAATAAAAACCTTTATGTAGCAAAATTATTTACTAAAAATGTTTTAAGTTATTTAGCAGGCCACCATCAATTTAGATAAGTAATCACATACATTAATAAAGTTTGAAGAATTCAAACATTAAAAGTTGAAATGTACAATATTCAAATATGAAATAACATTTTAAAAAATGTAAAATTTTTAAAATAGTAATTAATATATAAACCATGAAAAATGTTTTATTAATGCTTGAATTATATAATTATGTTGTTTTCTGTGTGTAAGTGCTTATGTAATCTAATGACAGCCTGTCAAATAAACCTAAAAATTTTTAGGAAGTAATTTTGTTGAATAAAATACAGTTGTCCCTCTATAGCCCGACGTTTTTTAATCCAACATGCTCAGTAGTCCGACGCACCTCCCGTCAAGGTACCCGTCCCCATTACGTGTCTGCTTGCACAGAAGCATGTCGCGATGTGAATCTCCCCATCCAATTCTTACTCGATGACACATATTTCATGTGTTTTATGTGAGCAGTTCTGTTCGAACAGTTGGAGTAGAGAATATTGTAAGTTACTGCTAGCAAAACTATGCGAAATATGTAATTATTTTCGGTAATCCGGACACTTTTGGTAATCTGACACACCTTTGGTCCCATACCTGTCGGATTATCAAGGGACAACTGTAATTACTTTTTATTTAAATTTATATAACAGGGTGGCCAAACATTGTCACAATAGGAGCCATATATTGGCTAACATTCTCTATAGGATCATCCATAAATTATGTAATGTTATTTTTATACTTTTTAACTACCATCACCCATCCCTGTAACATTGTACATACACAACTCCAAAATTACAAAATGCATATCTGCCATCCTCTTAATTGTATCAAGAAGTAATACACTGAATGGGATACCAAACATTACAGTATTTTATTAATTACATGGATAATGTACAAAACAGTGACATAAGCAGTATGGTTCACTATGCGATACTTTGGAAACAAAAATGAGTTATTCTGTTACTCAAGAGTTGAGGATCCTAGTATTATATAACTTTTTTAATCACACTATATCCCTTGTAAGTGTAATTATTATCCGCATAACCATCTACATCTGTATTATGTAATTTATGAACTTCCTCTACTGATTTTTATTTAACTCTTTTAAAAGATTGAATTTCATTCTTTCAAATTATTCATAATTTATGAAAATTATTCAAATTTTCAAAAATCAAGCCTTAAAAGTTTCAATTTTTGTAGTTCATTCAGCAAAAGTTAATTATTATAATGACAGTTATCAAGAATAAAATTATAATAAAAATAATTAAACTTCACTCACAATATTTCAAATAAAAATAGTAAATACTGTATGTAGATGATGTCAAAAATTTATATTGTATTTTATTTAAAAAAATTAAATACAGTAAATATTGGAATAAGATAGTTTAGAAAATTATTTAAGGAAAGTAATTTAATATTGTATCTTTATTAAATAGATCATTTTTATTTTTATATTTTAAAAGATATTTTATTTCAATAAAAAAATTATTGTTTTACTTAAACTAAAAATTATTTTTGATCTAATTTTAAACAGGTTACAATAAAAACATGTCAGATTAAATTTCATATATTGTCTCTTCTGTTATATTTCTAACACATAGATTTGTTCAGACACAACAGATAACAGGAAAAATAAATCATACAAATGCAAAAATCACATTTGCCTATACATAAATTTTTTACAAGATAATTACAATTTTCACTACTGAGCAACATCACGTGAATGGGAAAAATATGATGAACTAAGTGACCTGCAGAAGAGGAATACAAAAAAAAACCTCTCTCTCTCATCTCAATTTATTAAGTTTGTATTGTGCAGTTCTAATAAGTTTATACACTTGATGAAAGTATTTAATACAGCAGTGAGTAGCTAAATAGATAACCTTGTCAAACATGAGTAGCTGTTCCAGCTATAAGAATTCAATTAGTGAACAAAAAACAAAGCTTCTCTTCAATACTTAAATATTTTAAAAGACAGCACAGATTTGAGGCTCTGTTCCTACTTCAATTTCTCCCATATGCCCTGTGGCTTTTATTATGAAAAATTCTATAACATGATTATTTTTAGGAATATATGTACTGCATTATAGGAGAAATAACTGTAAATTATTCAAAAATTCATTAAATATAAATACATTCTTTAAACATACAAACACATTCTTTATATACAGATATATATCTATTCATATAATGTCATTTATTTATTTTACAAAAATAAGATAAGTAGAGAAATAGATTATGTAAACGAAAAAGAAAAAGCAGTTTCAGACAGAAAATAAGGCAAGATGTTTATAATTATCTCCAAACTTGATTCTGTGCAAGTGAAACCATTTCACTAATTGATAAATCCTTGGTAACAGACAGGATTTAACACCCCTTTTTTAATTTTAAGTAAAACAAAATTAAAAATAGTTTTTAAAATAACCACTTGATTGCTTTTTAAAATATATTTCATTCAATAGTTTATATTTTATTGAAACATTGTTAAGAATGATCACATATTTATAAATTTCAAGTCACCATTAAAAACAATACTAAAAGAGAATGTAAAATCAATGAAACAATAATTTTCTGTGAAATGGACAATTGCAAAAATTACTATTTTGTCACAATTCTAAAAAAACAAAAGAAATGGCAAAGATTAATAAAGAAGATATAATTTTAACTCAGATCTAAACAGATGGATTTTTTATAATTTTAACTAGTATAGTTTACGATTGAAAGTTATATTTATCAGCACACCATGTTTACATAACAATAATTTAAAATTACAATTTTCAGTTATAAATAGCTGATTTAGGAAAAAAGTAACACTTTTTAAAATTAGCTATTACTCCTCATGATTTGAATCAAAAACTTTCATTCTAATATTTTTTAAAGTATAAAAGTGAAAACATATCAGCATTTCACATGTTTGCTGTATAATTTAATTTTTCACAAACATTTGTAATTTGAAAGTTAATATGTTATATGTTTTTATGTTATAAGCATTCCATCTGTTCTATGCTTTCAATTTTAAATAATTCTCTTTAGAATGTCACTTCTGAAGATGCTGTAAATAAAATCAACAAATTACTAGAAAACTCTCAGAAACATTTTTTTATCTAAATTAATTGTTAGCAACAATTCAAAACTTCTAGTTGAATAGTACTGTACCTGGAATAACTACAAAATTTATAAATAAATGATATTCTCAACAGTTTTCTTAGTTATACTATAAATGAATAATGAAAACTGGAAAAACTTGTTCAATTTATTATTGTTTTTGATATAGTATTCATGCTTTAGTCACTAGTATTTTTTTTACCTGTTTAAGATCAATCTAAAGCAATTGCACAGTTTGTAAATTTGACATAAAATACTATCAATTTACATAAAAAGACTAATTGCATTATCTAATAGCATTTTGTGTATAAATGCATGAAAGTAACAAATTATTCTCATTAATTATATTTTCTTTGCTATTTTTTTATTTAATAACAGAAAAAAAATAACCAAATGCATAAAACATTCAACTGGATTTCAAAATCCAGTTGTTTATGCATTTCATTAAGATATTATATTAATTTCTATATTAAATTACATAAAATTTAATATTTGTAAAAGAATTAGTTTATAAGTTTGTTCATAAACATTTTGTATATTTTATTTGAAGAACAACAATACCAGAACAAATTATTATTAATAAATAATGTAATGTAACCAAAATAGTCCTACAGAAATAGAATTATATATATATTCTTTAATATACCACCTACAGTCACCAATGGAATGTTCATTGTATTGTTTGTGAATAAGTGAATAAATAAATAAAAGGTTCTTGTGCAATTAGGTTTTTGAGTTAGTCTAAAAATTTGGAATGATGTCCATAGTTGTGAAGAAATGTGATATAATATATACCAGGGATTGCCAACAAGTAGACTGCGGTTGACCACAAAGGTTTTGAAAGTAGCCCACGAAGCTAAAGTTGAACAATTTGCTTTCACTTAAATTAATGTTTAAAAATCTTAATTAGATAATTTATTCTTACAATAATAGACTGTCTGTTCAACGTACCCATACTGTTTGTATTTATCCCGATGAACAATGCAAATGAATGCTAACGCATGCGGATATAAAAATCCTAAAATTGTTTGCCCATATTCATAATCGCCCGCAGACTATATTTTACCAAAAAAGTAGCCCCTAAGGGATAAAAGTTTGGCCACACCTGCTGTATATGTACTGTACAAACATTACATGTTTTACAAACAATTCTCAGTGTTACGCGCGACGTTTTACTCTCGCGAAGTTTGGCGCGGGGGTGATATAGCACTCCCTGTTTCAAAATTCAATTTTTCAAAACTCATAGTTTTTTTCGCGATTTTTTCATTTTGGATGTTTGTGGGCATGTGTTTTTGATGTATCAGTGAAGAAAACTACTTTAAATATATCGTTTTTATTTATTCGTAACGAAAATCAAAGGATGACCTGTAACTTAAGCTTTTATATTTTATTTTTTGTACAAATATAAATATCCATTTAAATCTTTGATATATTTTATTAATCATGTCCGTGAAATAATTAGTCATACATTTTATAAAAGTTCTTTGCACGTATGTTTTGAAATATGTTTGTTATTGGGTTTTTTATGCTTGAACTGCAAACAATAACGATCTTCTCTCTTTATTTCTTAGCAAAGAAAATCTTACTTTGACAAGAAGACAATTATATCAAACGTAATTTTTTTAACGAACAACTGGTTAGATCTTAACTTCTTTGTTTGATCTTACAACTGTTTGTATTTTAGAAATTTTTAGTTTTCCATCCTTTATCAATGACATAATACTGCTTTTTAAGTTTCTTCTTATAATTTAATATTCTGTATTTNAATAATTAATAATTATCATAAAAGTATTATTATTATTATTATTATTATTACATATGAAAAAAAAATTAGAATGATGATTTAGATGGTGTAACTGGTAATGTAAATGCCCTGTATGCAGGAGTTGCATCTGTAACTTCCATATCTTTTCTTCCAGAAGTTCAAATTATTTATTTATTTATAATTATTAAATATGATACAAGATATCAATCAATGTTGCCTATTTCTAGATCATGCTACATCTGTTTAAAGTATAATTTTGACTGTAATATGCAATTACTATCACAGATCTTCTAAGTCATTTAAATATTAATTAATATTTAAAAATAATGTATATTTTTAACATCTCATGATAATTCAAATCACATTATTCAATTTTTTTTTTTTAAATATTAAATTGATATATATTGAAAAATCTCTAAAAACAAGATATTTACCCTATCTATAGTGTCGTCATCATCAACTGCATAAACAATACATATAACATTGGCCTGAAAGACAAAAATCATTGAATTTATAATTTTTAAATAAAAGTTTTTAAAATTATTATTCATTGCAGTAATCTGTTCAAATTAAAAATAAACTAATGAGCATAGCACACTGCTTTAATCAACAAAAACCACATTTAAAAGATATTGGTATTGGTTATCTTTTAAACAACATAATGACCCAATTTCTTTCCATTTTACTTATAAATAAAATCAAAGGTGACAAGTAGTTACAATGCAAACGAAGTAAAAAATTTACTGTATGATTTTATCAACTTATTATTGTGAAAACAGATAGAAATTCAACATTTTTAAATATACTGAAACAAAAATTAGGTCACAAACTTCTTTAACATTATTACATATTTATTCTATTACTTACCCTATTGATTTCGTGCATTAATATATCTTCTGTCTGTTCCTGAGCTAAAATTATAAATTAAATAACATTTTAATTATAGAACTTTGTAAAATAAAACTGAATGAAATTTAAAATTTATCAAATTTTAGAATCTTGATAAATTCTTGAGTATTACCTTGTTATTTTATTTCCATGTATTAAAAAAAATGTTAAGAAAGTAATTTTGTTTTTTGTATTATTATGTACTTTAAAGAATTATCTGATAAATGCAAGTTATTTTATCTTAATATTTATTGACGACATATAATCAAATTACAATATTTCCCAAAGCTAACTCTAAAAGGTAGCTATAACTTTGATCAGTTGTGAGAAAATTATACTTTTCTAAAAAAATACACAAATTACAAAATGATAAAGGAATTTGAACAGAATAAATATACATTTATATTTTAAAATTAAAAGTAAACAAGAAAAATGATTCAGATAAAAGAATTAATTCATGATAAAATCTATATAAATATTGGTGATTATTATTATTTCAAGAAAATTTTTTTTAAATTAAAGGCTAATAGTAATATTGCAAATGCATTCAAAACAATTAAATTTAAACAAAATAAGAAATAAATTATGATTTAGTAATTAATGCTTTTGTTAATAGTGAGAATCATACCATATTCAACACAGATGATGTATTTGTTACCAATTCCACCCAGAAAAAATGATGATATTCATACAATGAGATTCAAACTAATTTTTAAATGTTATTTGAAAAAATATGGCTTAGTTTTGAAAATATACTGATTTTTTTCTTTTCTTACAGTAGAACATAACTATGTATCTTAATGATTCTGTTTTCACATAAAATAATTAGAAAGAAAACATAAAATACTGTTTTAAAGTCACCAAGAAATTAAATGTGAATAAATGTTTTGCATTTCTGTGTAACACACAATGTTCAATTTGAAATTTTATATTCCAATTTCACAATTAAAATTTTATATTTGTATTAATATAAAAACTGAAACATTCTGAAAGTATTTCTGGAGTAAACCTCATCCTGGCTTCTAAACAACATTATTTTGTTCTGATTATTTTTTATGTACATTATAATTTTTTAAAATATTAAAAGAAAAAGATTTTGTCCTTTAACACACAAAAAACCATAAACATACCAGAATAATCTACAATATGTGTAGGCACCTTCTCAGGTGTAACATCTGCAGGAATTGTAATTTCTTCAGCTCTTGGTGGGACATCATCTGGAAATTCTTCACTCACTAAAGACAGAATTAATGATGTTTTTCCTACACCAGCTGAAAATAAAAGATTATTACAATTAATGACAACTTAAGAAACAAAATATTCTTAAGCTAGAATACTTAACTTTCATTCTTTCGATAATAAAACTTTTAAATAGTTAACAAGAACAAATAAATTTNTTAATATTTATTGATGACGTATAATCAAATTACAATATTTCCCAAAGCTAACTCTAAAAGGTAGCTATAACTTTGATCAGTTGTGAGAAAATTATACTTTTCTAAAAAAATACACAAATTACAAAATGATAAAGGAATTTGAACAGAATAAATATACATTTATATTTTAAAATTAAAAGTAAACAAGAAAAATGATTCAGATAAAAGAATTAATTCATGATAAAATCTATATAAATATTGGTGATTATTATTATTTCAAGAAAATTTTTTTTAAATTAAAGGCTAATAGTAATATTGCAAATGCATTCAAAACAATTAAATTTAAACAAAATAAGAAATAAATTATGATTTAGTAATTAATGCTTTTGTTAATAGTGAGAATCATACCATATTCAACACAGATGATGTATTTGTTACCAATTCCACCCAGAAAAAATGATGATATTCATACAATGAGATTCAAACTAATTTTTAAATGTTATTTGAAAAAATATGGCTTAGTTTTGAAAATATACTGATTTTTTTCTTTTCTTACAGTAGAACATAACTATGTATCTTAATGATTCTGTTTTCACATAAAATAATTAGAAAGAAAACATAAAATACTGTTTTAAAGTCACCAAGAAATTAAATGTGAATAAATGTTTTGCATTTCTGTGTAACACACAATGTTCAATTTGAAATTTTATATTCCAATTTCACAATTAAAATTTTATATTTGTATTAATCTAAAAACTGAAACATTCTGAAAGTATTTGTCTGAAGTAAACCTCATCCTGGCTTCTAAACAACATTATTTTGTTCTGATTATTTTTTATGTACATTATAATTTTTTAAAATATTAAAAGAAAAAGATTTTGTCCTTTAACACACAAAAAACCATAAACATACCAGAATAATCTACAATATGTGTAGGCACCTTCTCAGGTGTAACATCTGCAGGAATTGTAATTTCTTCAGCTCTTGGTGGGACATCATCTGGAAATTCTTCACTCACTAAAGACAGAATTAATGATGTTTTTCCTACACCAGCTGAAAATAAAAGATTATTACAATTAATGACAACTTAAGAAACAAAATATTCTTAAGCTAGAATACTTAACTTTCATTCTTTCGATAATAAAACTTTTAAATAGTTAACAAGAACAAATAAATTTGTTTGTAAATATAATTTACAAACAAAGTTACAAAGAAAAAAATCTACATTAAAAGCTTCTCTTCCAATGACTTATATAAAGTAACATAAATTTTTTAATATAATATGAATATATCATTTATAATATATGTTCCCAATCTATCAATTTATCAAAATATATATTTATTCTTGTATTATTTATAATAATCTTTTAAAAATATTTATTTCTGTCAGTCTACATCATATCAAAAATATAAAGTTTTAATTATAATTAACATTTAATTACAATAATGTTTGAAAAGACAATTATAGATAAAACAGAATTTTTCTTAATAGAAATTTTATATTCCTTAAGTTGAAATTTATTAATAAAACAATTATTATATAAAAATTTTTGATAATTTTCTATTTAATCTTTGATTGGATTTTGGCTTTTAATAAGTTTAATATGAGTTTCCCTTTGAAGAAATTCATTTTTCTTTTCCTATTTTAAAAGAGTTCTTTAAAATAGGAAAGGAAAAATGAATTTTGTCAAAGAAATAGGAAAGGAAAGATGAAATTTCAAAAAATAGCAAAGATGAATTTTGTCAAAACAATAAATGAATAAAATAGATATGACGACAACTGTTCACATCATAAAGATGTGAACAATTGTTGTCATCTCTATTTTATTCATTTACTTTTTTTCTATAAAAATCTTACATGTACAGAAGTATGTATCTACTCTGGAACGACTTGCTGTTTACTACATATTACTCTGATATCTCTAAATCATTCTTTGTACATACAAAAAGTTCAAGCTATCATACAGTCATAGTTTTAATTTACTAGTTTTGGTTTCTGTAATAACAAAATCTATTGCTTACTGTTTAATCCATAATTTTATCATTTAAATGTTTATATTCATTGTAAAAAGCTAAATCTTTCCTACCTTAGGAAATTTTATAATTTCATTTTCTAACCCTCTGATAACAGAACTCTTCATAATATGACACTCTATTGCTCAGCTTTAATGTGTATTTTTAGCAATAAATTATGTCTAAAAGTCTGCAAATGCTTGTATTTTAAGATTATTTTAAAACAGTAGGATGGTATTATTCACAATTCAGTTACTTTCAATGAAACAAGTTAACCACAAATAATAACATGCAGCTATTCCAAACTGCCTGTTATTATTTTACTATTCTTAAAATATATATGAAATATATATAAAATGATTTTTGGACCACTCTATATTTCGAATACATTTTGAATATTTATATTTATAATTCTAATAAATTAATAACAAAAAAAGAACTTTTAGTTAACAAAAATTAAATATTCTAATTAAATCTACATATTTTTATGGTTTATCCACAAAGTTTAGAAAATATTTACTTATATTTTAACTACTTTACAAGAACAAAGTAGTGAAATAAATTAATTACACTCAATTAATGTGAATTTCAGTTAAATTTTTAATAAAAAACAGCTTCTTAATCAAAATTCTTCTTTCAAAGATAATAAGAAGTTTATTAGTAGTTTAAATTATTTAAAGAAATGCTGTTAAATGTAATTATCAATATTTGCAATGCTAAAAGTATGAATCAAACTGCTATGGCTGTTAATCATAGCAATACTAAATTTCAATCAGGGGTAAACAATTATTTTCACAAAAACACATTATTATGGTTTTATTAAATAATTAAAACATATGTAATACAAATTAATCTGTAACACAGTATTCACAAAGTATTAATTTTTCAAATTTAAATTTGTAAATTCTCAGAGAATTTCTTCCTATTAAAATATGTACAATTTTTCCTCTTCCTCAATTTCAATACTTAAAGCAGTTTTCATGGTAAACAGAGAATATAGAATGTTATCACTATCCTACATTCTACATGTACTGTACATAAATTTTTCCATATCAGTATATGCTCAGTGATGTTATTAGAGCATCACTAAATTGTCTTCATTCACAAATCTAAAAATTGTTTGTTAGAACTCTCATATCAGCCACCCGAAACTTTTAATCCAATATGCCTATTCCTTAATTTTTCATACTTACATTAAAATAGGGTAAAAATGGCAAGTTTTATATAATCATTTACTGAGAAATATGGTACAGAATGGTTAAATTAAGGAATGATCCGAAAAATATTTATTTTTAAATCAAAATCAAGTCAACTTCAGAAGATAATTTCATTTGACTGATATTAATTTGAAAATAGACCAGTCGTGACTAAATTTTTATCGGTACAATGGTTTTTTCCTCATATATTCATATTTGTTAAATTTAAAGAACAATCTGGTCTGTCCTAAATATGTTAGCAGAATAAATTTGTATTCTCTGAATTTAAAATCAGCACAATTTTCAAGATGTTTACATATAAAAACATTTCACATCACTTAATTACTTTATTCTTTGTAAAATTGTGAAAATGATCAAAGCTTTAATTTCTAATATATTTTTAAAGAATAAATTTGCTAATTGATACCCTACAGTTTTTGCCTTATTAATTCTATTATATATTTTGAATTCTCCATTTTATTTAAGACAGTTTGATCTGTATAATTTGTTCCACTTTTTGTATAAGCACTTACTGCTGTTAATACTTGTACTTCTCTAATTCAATGTAACTCTTCTTTTCCTGTGACCTACTTTCGTTATTTTACTTTTGCATTTATTAGATGCATCTTCATATCGATTTTCTAGCTGATAACTTGAAATTTATTAAGAGCTTCTTGTGATCCCAATTTACTATTAAAACCAAGTCATCTACCTCATAAAAAACTAACATTAATATCTCTAATATTTAAAAATCTAACTATATTGATATTTTTTAAACTATTTTTGATAAATAATAAAAATAAAAAGAAAACACTGATATTTATCTTTATATAATTCACTCAGACTACATTCTATATGCAAACTTTGCATATAGAATATAGTTTTTATAAGTTTTTTTTACTGCTCTAAACAGATTTTACTCTAAATAATAACAGTAATTTTGAAAGAGTATTATCATAAATTTTATCTGGATTCTTAAATTCACACAAAATGCTTTCCTAAATTCACTCTCAAACTGTAAGATACAATAAAGATAATATACTAATTACCGAATGAAAACACACACATTGCTGGAATTTAATAGAGAAAAAGCATTAAAAAATAATCAATAATCAAATACTACAGATAAATAATATTCAAATTGAAATTTTACAAGAATTTTGAAGAATCTTTCTATAAAAGNAACTTACTGCCTATTGACACTGCAATCCAAATGTAAAGAATATGAGAATATTTGTAAAAATAATTATTAATATAAAATGAGTTTATCTTCAAGAAGTTATAAGTTAAGTAAATTAACCTTTTTTAAAATAATAAAATTTTTATTTTCTTAAATTCTATTTTTATGAAAACTTATTTAACCACAATATTAAAAATTTATATTACTTACGTTCGCCGACTAATAAAATACGAACATCTCTTCTGCCATTTGTTCGACCCATTGTTAATATTTTTTTTAAATTTATTTTTATTTAACCTGTTAAAATAAAAAAAAATTTATTATAGATTAGACTTAAGTTGAAGAAAATAAATTCAATTCATTTTTTAAAAGTGAAATAAAATTAAATATCATAATGAAATGTTAAGATTATATTATTAGTTACTTGTGGAATTACAGTTTGGGCTTAAATTTTAAATAATTTTATAAATCTAAATTATGTGTGTAAAAAAATATAGAATTTATTATTGTTAACACACCTGTTAGTTTATTCAAATAAATAAAAATTAACTATTCATATAAACGGGTTTGAAATTTTTAACGTAATCAAACCAACTTTTGTAATCAATGAGGCAGTTGCAACATAAATTTTTATTTAAAGATTAAAAATCACCAATTTGAAATTTTGAAGTAAAAAACATTTGTCTGATTATTTTATATAATCAAAATTTTCACATAGAAAAATAGAATTTAATAAATTTTACATAAAAATATAGAATCAGGCTTATTTTTCATTCATTTTTGCAGGTGTAAAGTAAGATTATCATAGTTCATCTATGAATTAATGAAAATAGGTGACATACATAATACACCTGCTATCTAAAGGTTAAAAGGTAAGAAAAAGCTTTCGTATCTGTATCTTAACCTCGTTTAATTTTAAACAACTTAACTTATTTCAAATTTATATATGAATTATTTTCTTAAAAGTTAAAGATACAAACCAAATTCAAATTTTTAAAAGTGCTTTGTACTATACTTTAATATCTTAGTGTTCAAGTCATTCTGTACAGAGAATTTGTAAAATAGATAAATTTTTATATTCTACATTGAAATGCTAGTAAATGCTTGCATTTTTTGATGTACTGAATCAAATTATTAAATTCTACTTAATGTGATTTAATATTTAAATTTTATTCAGTTATACAATTCAATTAAATAATTTTATATTCATACTTGTAATGATAATCATTTATTTACATCTAAAACTGTAAGGAAATAAATCATGTTCAAGTTATGCAAAAGAAAAAATATTCCAAAGTTGATTGGTGCCGAAAGTGAATGCCATTACAGTTGACCCTCCTATAACACTGTTGATAATTCCGTTTTATATGAATTCCATGTTGTACGAGTCACTTAGATTTTGTAAATAAGCGAGCTGTTCACAGCCCGGCACATGTATTTGTAAAATCTAAGTGACTCGTACAACATGGAATTCATATAAAACGGAATTGTCAACAGTGTTATAGGGGGGTCGACTTGTATCTATCTGTTCTAAATAAGAGTAAAGATATTTCTAAGTAGTGAAATATTTTCTTTGCTATTACTGAGTACTGTAGTAGAATTCATGTAAACCCAGAATAGGACACAGAGTCTTCCTCTTTTTATACACATGACTGAAAAGTGCTGCAATTTTAAATTATGAGGAATATTTAAGTTGAAGACTAAACCATTGTTGGTTTTTTTAAAAAAAAATTGGATAAAAGCCACTTTCTTTTCCTTTAAAAGTGCAGCAATATAATAGAATTTGCGTGAAATATTAGAATTATTATGTTTATCTAACATTATAGAAGATAAAAATATAATCATATAAAATATTAATTTTACATACTTAAATATCATCATAATAATCACAATATTGCTAGCTGTAATATTAAAGTTAAGAATTTTTTATGACGATTAAAAAAAACTATAAATTTTAGAATCAATATGTTTAATATCTTAAATGTTTTTGAAATTTTAAACATATTTTAAAACATTTATGAAGCTAAAAAAAAAAATGTCATCTTATAATCATCTGCAAAATGTTGCATTTGCATATAATGTGGGCAAAATTTTAGCAATTTTCTGTAAAAGAAAAGTTTTTAATTCCAAAAACATTGAAAACACAGTTGAACCTCTAATAATGGTCATTTTTCAGGAGAATTTCCTTTGAAATGTAAACAAAAAACTTCCAAACACTGATCATTTTTTTTAATGTTCAAACCAGTTGCTGTTATTCAGAACTTTGACTTTATTATTAAATAGCAAGATTGCAGCCAAAGTTTTCAATGTGAAAGCATTCAAAACACCACTGTCAAACTTCTAGGCTTATAGGAAGGAGGGCTGAACATCCAATGTTCATGTTTTTGCATTGAAAACTTTGGTTGCAACCTCACTAATATATTAACTTTAATACACTTGCTAAAGAAATTCCTCAAATGTAAAGTTCAATCCCCAAAACATTTTTTTAAAAATCCATCCTTAGGAGCCAACTAAAGAGATGATGACAATTTCTGCAGCTGACTCCTGAAACCCAAAGCAGAAGTTTCCAAAAATTTTCATCCTAGAAAAGCAATATGGAACATTTTAAAGTTTGTTATAAGTTTATTGTATTATTTTTTTAATTTCATTTTTGTTTATTTTAAAATTAAAAGTAACCATAAATATAAATATAATAATTAATTTTTATATTTCGCTTTATTTTCCTATAAAAATTATTTTATTATCTATTATAATAATAATAATCTTAAGTAAGCCTTTGTCTATTAAAAAAGCCAAAAGTAAAGATTTCAAACTGACAATATTCTTTGATGAATGACAGTTTGACATTATAAAATGAATACTTTATTATAGCCTTATGAATTTTTAATTCATTTTCTTTTTTGATAATTTTCAAATACAGTTGATAATTATGAATTTTTCTTTAAACTCTCTCTCTCTCAAATCTGAATGTACTATACATTTATTTTTGGTATTATTTTACAGTTGTATATTTTTGTTAAGCAATCTTTTTCCTTTTCAGAAATAAAAGCACTAAAGGAAATTTGTTGTGGATGTTTTTTGCAAAAGAAGCTTCATCACTTTTACATTTAAAACAAAAAAAAATTTCAAAGAACAATAAAAAATGTTCATAATGAATGACAAATTTCCCTAGTCAATTGACAATGAAACACACACCCCACACACCTCACAACAGACCTTTTTCTTGTGAGGTATGTATGGTTTTTTGTCAGCTAAGGAACTTTTACATCATTATGAACATTTTACTTATTTGGAATTTTGTTACGAATTTTTATATGCATAAATAAGACATTACAACTGCCAAGTCTTTTACAAAAATAAACTCTTAGTTCAGCAGACACACTAATAATAGCATAGAATTTTTAATATCCAAATACTAATGATTATGTAGACCATGGGCATATCTATCTTTAAGGTGCTTTCTCTATAGGGAAATTTTCAATTAGATTCATCTTTATTGTTTTTGGCAATTGCATTAATCTTAAAAAGGTTTTTGGGATTCTTTTTATTTATTTTTACTTTTGCATCATTTTTTAAGCTTGACACTACTGCACACTTAATAAACAAGTATAAACATTATCTTAGAGATTTTTACACATTGATAAATAAAACAAGCTTGTTTTGTTTTACAGTTTTTATAGCTGTTTTATTGTAGTAGTCTGAGACCTACCCATATTTGCCTGTATTTGGAGATTCTGTTTTCATACACTGTATACCAGCAACTTAATTAAATCTATAACAATTAAGGAATTAATACCATCTAAATTTGTCTTTTTTTTATTATATTTTTCAACAGTTTAAAGTAAAACCAAATGATGATTATTTATACATATGCAACTTTTATATAATTCTGCTGATTAGTTCCTGAGTTATATTTCACATGGAGACTTCTGTGGTGATAGAATTTTATTTGAAAAATGTCCACTAGGATGGAAAGTGGTGCTATTACACTATAGTGAATAACTCAAAATGTCTCAAAATTTACAATATACATGGTATGCTGTGTCCAAAACTTGTGCTGTCATTGAATGTGCAATTTGGCAATTTCAGCACGTTGCCAATAATGGAGGACACCATATTGATCATGCTGTTGCATAGCCACCAGGTCTGTGGAGTAGTAATGATTTTGAGGTTACTCTTACTCCTACTCCAGAGTTGTATTTTTAAATGTTACTCCTACTCCTTGAAAACTTCTGATTCCTCTTACTCCTTACTCATACTCGTACTCCTCAATCACAATATTTCATCATTGCCACATGACTCATCAGGCTACTTTATTTGTTTTTTGAATTTTGATCACATTATATAGTAGCCTAATCAGTAATCAGATTTAAAATTCAAAGGGCTGTAGCTATATTGTTTTTCATTTATTTAATGCAAATTATAAAACAAAATACATATTTGATTTAAACTATTTATTCAATACTGAAAAAAACTGAAATAGATATAATGGTTATGACTAGACCTAACCATTATTGACATCTGGAAACCCCTCCTCCCTAACAGGTATTATCCACATGTGATTCCATCCCGCCCTCCCCCAGATGGTCCCCATCTGATGAACCTACCTTGCCCTCCCATATAGATACAACTTCATTCTACAAATGAAACTGCATACTCAAAGATGATCATAACTCTGATGCAACCCTAGTAAACTGATTACCAAGTCAATTGCCCAATATATTCTCTAATGTCAATTGTAACCAACACTCAACCATGTAAGTTAATTTTAAAAACATTTTTGTTAAAATATTATATGTACTAATGTAATATCCTGTATAATGTAACCCATATCTATCTCTTTTTATTTTTTGCTTTCATATAAAATTCCATCAACACAGAAGTCTCCATGTGAAATATAACATAATTCTGCTGATTAGTTCCCAAGTTATATCTTTTTGAAATGTAATCTTTAATTATGAACACCTTATATATAGCTTCTATTATAACTTTTATATATATATATATAGCACTGTATTATTATAATAATTTTAAACTTTTTCATTAAAAAACAATGTTCTCATCAGTAAATATAAATATTTTCTCCTTTTCATAGCTTAAAAACATTAATAACCTATTAATTTAATTATATCAAAATTGATACTTAATAAATTTATACTGCATTATTTCTTTTTTTTTAAATATGCAGATCATTTACATATATCATTACATTTTTTTAATAATTGGATCAATTATTTTTCCAAAGTAAACTTTATAACAGCTATAAAAACTAAATGTATGAAAGGAAATCTAAAAAT